ATGTAATTGACATGTTGTTGTTTGTGTTCATGTGTTGTTGTTGACATGTTGTTGTTTGTATTCACATGTTGTTGTTTGTCCTTGCAGGGGGCCATCCTGACTGGGCCCCCAGGAACTGGTAAAACCCTCCTGGCCAAAGCGACAGCCGGTGAGGCCAATGTTCCCTTCATCACGGTGAACGGTTCTGAGTTCCTGGAAATGTTTGTGGGCGTCGGGCCGGCCAGGGTGAGTGGCCGACCTACATGAGGGAGGAAGGGGAGGAGCTAAAGAAACAGCTCTGATATCACTTATGTTGCAGGTGAGAGATCTGTTTGTCATGGCGAGGAAGAACGCTCCCTGCATCCTCTTCATCGATGAGATTGACGCTGTTGGGCGAAAGAGGGGCCCAGGGAGCTTTGGAGTTCAGAGCGAGCAGGAGAGCACACTGAACCAGCTGCTAGTAGAGATGGACGGTGGGTTCTACATGTTCCTCCCATTTCTCTTGTTCCTCCTGTTTCTCCACATTCAACACTTGCTCTTGTCAAGGGCGGACGTCTCCTCCTCTCCCTCTCCACTTTGCTTTTGCTCTGTTTGTCTGTGAAACTGCTTTAGAGCCTCTCTTCTACAAATATTCTGAATCATAACTATGGACTTGGATTTGATCAGTTGGTCCCTCAGCACAATTGATAACATTTCTTTGAAGAGAAAACAGGCTTTAGGCGAGCTGATTTGCCCTGTTGGCACGCACACAGCTGGATATCTCATCGACTTGAAGACTTGATGACGTGTCTATCTTTGCTGTCATCTGTGGATTTTAAGGACGCATTTATAATTGGATTTATGGTAACTGGTTCCTGCTTTTTGGATTTGGCTGGTTCCTGGTCTATCAACAAACAAGGAAGTCGTCGGCAGCAAATCTGGACCTGATCAGGCTGCCTGTCTTATATGATGTCTTGGTTCGTGCCTCGAGCACCCAGACTCTTGGCAGAATGGATCAGATCTCGGGGATTATTCTCAGGCACGGTCCATTGGTATTTTTTCATTTTTTTCATTTAGCCTTTATTTATCCAGGTTAGTCTCATTGAGCCACGAGAACTCATTTTCAAGAGAGACCTGTTTAGGGAGCACATGGTGGGGGGTTAAGGGCCTTGCTCATGGGCCCAGAGTGGGGCGAATGAGGGTGGGGGCAAGTGTGGGTGTTTCACCTACCCCACCCACAATTTTGATGTTGTCGGGGCCGGGGCGTGAACCGGCGATCTTCGGATCACAAGCCCACCTCTCTAACCTCTGCGCCACCACTCCCCCCATGGTGGTATGGTCATTTAATTTGCACATTTTGAATCCAAATGGACCGACACAGACTCAAGGTAGATGACATTAAATTTCTGCCTCTCCCCAAAACAATCGTGTTTATCTGAATTCGGCTCCCTGACTGGCCTTGACAGGCCATCTTATCTCAACCCGCCTGGAAGTTTTGTAAACCTGATGCTCTAACCTCTCCCTCCCCTCCTACTGAGGAATTCCATGGACTTTTCAGAGGAGCCCAGCTGAATAAACATTCTGTCATCATTTCAGGACTCTAGATTCATCTCTGGTCGTCCTCGACACCCCCCGAGTGTGCACGGATCTCTCCAGAGGGAGCTATTGAACTGAGTGATTTTATCTGAACTCTGCAGTTCCTCTGTGTGTTGCTGCTCACCGACCTTAAGCCCCCCCCCCCCTTGCGTAATGTCGGCATCATTATGTGCTAGTGTGCAAGATTTTTTTTCATTATCACACTGTTGACCTTCAACCAGAGATTAAAAACTTGTTAGGAATTTTTTTGTCTCTAAACCCTGTGTATCATTTTTCACCACTTTTATTGTCCAAACAGGTCTCACTTGTAAATGAGTCATCAAGGCTCAATGTGACTTATCATCTGTTTAAATAAAGGTTGAATGAATGAACAAATAATCTCAGTTCTGTCCTTCAGGCTTCAACACGGCCTCCAACGTGGTAGTTCTGGCTGGAACCAACAGACCTGACATTTTGGACCCCGCTCTGTTGAGACCCGGCCGCTTTGACAGGCAGATTTACATTGGTAAGTGGCGTTCAAGTGACCTCTGTAGGTGACCTCTGCAGGTAACAGCTACAGGCGCAGCTGTTACCTGCAGGAGGATGATGATGATGATGATGGTCTTTTTGTAGGTCCTCCTGATATCAAAGGACGCGCATCCATCTTTAAAGTCCACCTTCGTCCTCTGAAGCTGCTTGCCAACCTTGACAAAGATGCTCTGGCGAAGAAGATGGCCACCCTCACACCTGGTTTCTCAGGTAAGCTACTTCTTTCTTCTGATCAATCAGGAAGGACTAATACCCCTTTTCCATTAGTACCTGTAGTACCGGTACAGCACGGTTCTACTCGGCTCGGTACGGTACACGTTGTGTTTCCATTATGCTTTCAATACTGGTTCCAGTGGGCGGGGTTCAAATTGATGTCACATGTCTCACCAGCTGGTGTCTGTGAGATGCTGAAACAGGTTTCAGTACAGGGTGAGAATTTATTTTGAAGTTTCTGGTAAATTAAAAAGAATACAGATTATAATTATCAAATTAAACTCTATTTATATATATATATATATATATATATATATATACACACACATATATATATATATATATATATATACACATACATACAGGTCCTTCTCAAAAAATGAGCATATTGTGATAAAGGTCATTATTTTCCATAATGTAATGATAAAAATGAAACTTTCATATATTTCAGATTCATTGCACACCAACTGAAATATTTCAGGTCTTTAATTGTTTTAATACTGATGATTATGGCATACAGCTCATGAAAACCCAAAATGCCTGTCCCAAAAAATGAGCATATCATGAAAAGGTTCTCTAAACAAGCTATTAACCTAACCATCTGAATCAACGACGTAACTCTAAACACCTGCAAAAGATTCCTGAGGCTTTTAAAAACTCCCAGCCTTGTTCATTACTCAAAACCACAATCATGGGTAAGACTGCCGACCTGACTGCTGTCCAGAAGGCCATCATTGACACCCTCAAGCAAGAGGGTAAGACACAGAAAGAACTTGCTGAACCAATAGGCTGTTCCCAGAGTGCTGTATCAAGGCACCTCAGTGGGAAGTCTGTGGGAAGGGAAAAGTGTGGCAGAAAACGCTGCACAACGAGAAGAGGTGACCGGACCCTGAGGAGGATTGTGGAGAAGGGCCGAGTCCAGACCTTGGGGGACCTGCGGAAGCAGTGGACTGAGTCTGGAGTAGAAACATCCAGAGCCACCGTGCACAGGCGTGTGCAGGAAATGGGCTACAGGTGCCACATTCCCCAGGTCAAGCCACTTTTGAACCAGAAACAGCGGCAGAAGCGCCTGACCTGGGCTACAGAGAAGAAGCACTGGACTGTTGCTCAGTGGTCCAAAGTACTTTTTTTGGATGAAAGCAAATTTTGCATGTCATTTAGAAATCAAGGTGCCAGAGTCTGGAGGAAGAGAGGAGACAGAATTCACATTGCTTGAGGTCCAGTGTCAAGTTTCCACAGTCACTGGGGTGTCATGTCATCTGCTGGTGTTGGTCCACTGTGTTTTATCAAGGGCAGGGTCAATGCAGCAGCTATCAGGAGATTTTGGAGCACTTCATGCTTCCATCTGCTGAAAAGCTTTATGGAGATGAAGATTTCATTTTTCAGCACGACCTGGCACCTGCTCACAGTGCCAAAACCACTGGTAACTGGTTTACTGACCATGGTATTACTGTGCTCAATTGGCCTGCCAACTCTCCTGACCTGAACCCCATAGAGAACCTGTGGGATATTGTGAAGAGAAAGTTGAGAGACGCAAGACCCAACACTCTGGATGAGCTTAAGGCCGCTATCGAAGCATCCTGGGCCTCCATAACACCTCAGCAGTGCCACAGGCTGATTGCCTCCATGCCACGCCGCATTGAAGCAGTCATTCATGCAAAAGGATTCCCGACCAAGTATTGAGTGCATAACTGAACATGATTATTTGAAGGTTGGTGTTTTTTGTATTAAAAACACTTGTCTTTCATTGGTGGGATGAAATATGCTCATTTTTTGGGACAGGCATTTTGGGTTTTCATGAGCTGTATGCCATAATCATCAGTATTAAAACAATTAAAGACCTGAAATATTTCAGTTGGTGTGCAATGAATCTGAAATATATGAAAGTTTAATTTTTATCATTACATTATGGAAAATAATGACCTTTATCACAATGTGCTCATTTTTTTTAAAAGGATCTGTATACCATACCACTTTATTTATAAAGCACTTAAAACAGCTACAAAGCCAACCAATGTGCTGTACAGACAAAACAACAGGTAACACACAAAGCAAAGATATATGTATACACACACACACACACACACACACACACAAACCGATTTCCAAAAAAGTTGGGACACTAAACAAATTGTGAATAAAAACTGAATGCAATGATGTGGAGGTGCCAACATCTAATATTTTATTCAGAATAGAACACAAATCACAGATCAAAAGTTTAAACTGAGAGAATGTTTCATTTTAAGGGAAAAATCTGTTGTTTCCAAATTTCATGGCGTCAACAAATCCCAAAAAAGTTGGGACAAGTCCATTTTTCCCACTGTGTGGCATCCCCCCTTCTTCTTCCAACACTCAACAGACGTCTGGGGACAGAGGAGACCAACTGTGAAATTTTGAATCTACATATTTTTCTTTTAAAATGTTACATTTACTCAGATTAAACGTTTGATACGTCATCTATGTTACAAACTGGATTCCAAAAAAGTTGGGACACTAAACAAAGTGTGAATAAAAACTGAATGCAATGATGTGGAGATGGCAAATGTCAATATTTTATTCGTAATATAACATAGATGCCTGCATCATAAGCAAGCTCCACAAGCTCAGACGTTTGCACTGGGCCAGGGGTCATTTAAAATGGAGTGTGGCAAAATGGAAGACTGTTCTGTGGTCAGATGAGTCACGATTTGAAGTTCTTTATGGAACACTGGGACGCCATGTCATCCGGACCAGAGAGGACAAGGATAGCCCAAGTTGTTATCAACGCTCCGTTCAGAAGCCTGCATCACTGATGGTATGGGGTTGCATGAGTGCTTGTGGCATGGGCAGCTTGCATGTCTGGAAAGGCACCATTAATGCAGAGAACTATGTTCAGGTTCTAGAACAACATGTGCTCCCATCTAGACGTCATCTCTTTCAGGGAAGACCCTGCATTTTTCAACACCATAATGCCAGACCACATTCTGCAGCAATCACAACATCATGGCTACGTAGGAGAAGGATCCGGGTACTGAAATGGCCAGCCTGCAGTCCAGATCTTTCACCTATAGAGAACATTTGGTGCATCATAAAGAGGAAGGTGCCACAAAGAAGGCCCAAGACGATTGAACAGTTAGAGGCCTGTATTAGACATGAATGGGAGAGCATTCCTATTTCTAAACTGGAGAAACTGGTCTCCTCTGTCCCCAGACGTCTGTTGAGTGTTGGAAGAAGAAGGGGGGATGCCACACAGTGGGAAAAATGGACTTGTCCCAACTTTTTTGGGATTTGTTGACGCCATGAAATTTGGAAACAACAGATTTTTCCCTTAAAATGATACATTCTCTCAGTTTAAACTTTTGATCTGTGATTTGTGTTCTATTCTGAATAAAATATTAGATGTTGGCACCTCCACATCATTGCATTCACTTTTTATTCACAATTTGTTTAGTGTCCCAACTTTTTTGGAATCCGGTTTGTACCTTGGACCTTTAGGCCCTGGATTTTGACCCCGCCCACTGACCTAGGCTCCCTCAGACCACACACCCTCACCATATAGATCTTATGGTTATACCATATATAACCTCATGTCCCTCAGACCCCGCCCCCTGACCTTGGGGATCTTGGCTCCCAGGTCCTGATACTGTTTGGGGTTCTTCAAGAAATTGACAAACTCCATAATCTCCAGCTTGGCCTCCTCACAGCCCGCCACATCTTTGAACTTGACGTCAATCTTGTCCTTCAGAACCTTGGCCGTGGTCTCTCTGAAACCGAACAACCCACCAATTCCTCTGCCAGGTCGCCCCGCCCCTGTTGGGTCGCGGCGTAGACTGAAGAGCAGGAAGCTGATGAGGAGCACAGTGGGGAGCATGCTGAGCAGGAACGAGCTGTGAGAAAACAACAAGTGTGAGTGGTTTGGTTCTCACTGGAAGTACAGCGGGTCAACCCATGTGGAACCAGGACGCTGCTGACCCGTCGCTCTCAGTGAAGTAAACCACAGGCAGGCGGTTCTCGCTCTCGATGCCAAGCTCACTCTGAGCTGTGTCCAGGTTCCTCTCGAAGGTGTCGACGCTGCCGATGTTGAACCACACGTACTGCTGCAGAAACAAAGGAGGTGGGGTCACTCACAGGAGGCGGAGTCATCCAGCTCCACAGCTACCTGACACCGGGAACACACCCCGTCTGCCGGCATCTTCTCCGCAGAGAACACCACTTTGACGTAATGCTTGTTGATCACTTCCAGTCGATCCACCTGATAACGAGACACCAATCAAAGCCCCGACAGCTTCAACCGGGTATAATGGTTCAGGTGTGACCAGATGTGCTCCTCACCACTCCATCGGACAGGTAGTTGTTGACAAACTCCTTCCAGGTGACTTCTCGAACGCCGTCCCGCAGGAAGTAGGAGGTGACGGCGACCCACAACACCACGCCACCCAGTACATATATCCAAAACTCCTTATCATCCCAGGGAAAATCACCCTGAAACACACATTAACGAAGCTCTGCCCACATTAACTAAGCTCCACCCACACCTGTACAGGTAACGCTCACAGAATGAAAGATGACTGACCTTCTGCAAGCGGCTGTACCAGCTGGCTTCCTCCTTGCGACCTCCTTGATTCCCGCCTCCTCCTGCAGAACCGCCTCCAGATGTACCAGGTGGTTTCTGACTGCTGGCAGCTTTGGGTTCTGACAAACACCACAACAGATCTTGATCATGAGCAGCTCTTGGGCCATCCTCTGTACCAGAACCAAGGTGCCCAAAGT